AATAATAATAATAATAATAATAATAATGATAATAATAATAATATCTATCTATCTATGCTGATCTGCGGGGGGGTCGTTTATGCTGGGCCCTGCAGCCCCAAAGCCTGACATGACTGGTCCCCAGGACAAATAACTTTGAGAAACGCGGCACTAGAGGACATCGGGCCCTCAGGCCACCCTCATGAAGTCTGTTTCTGGTTGTTTGGTTAGAGACATTCATACCAGTGGCCTGCTGGTCATTTTGTAGGGCTCTGGCAGTGCTCATCCTGTTTCTCCTTGCACAAAGGAGCAGATATCAGTCCTGGTGATAGGCTAAGGACCTTCTAGGGCCCTTTCCAGCTCTCATAAAGTAACTGCCTGTCTCCTGGAACCTTCTCTGTGACCTTGAGACTGTGCTGGGAGACACAGCAAACCTTCTCCAGGATGGCGCATCAATACATGCCATTGCCCGGAGTTGGACTACCTGTGCAACCATAGGGTCCAGGTATCACTTCATGCTACCAGTAGTGACACTGACTGTAGCCAAATGCAACACTAGTGAAAAAACTAGAAAAGATGAGGAGAAAAAATGTCAGTGGCCTCCACCTGTTAAACCATTCCTGTTTTGGGGGTCGTCTCATTGTTGCCCCTGTTGTTAATTTCATTAACACCAAAGCAGCTGAAACTGATTAACAGCCCCCTCTGATACTTAACTGACCAGATCAAAATCCCAGAAGTTTAATTGACTTGATGCTATACTCTGATTAAAAGTGTTACTTTAATTTTTTTTTGAGCAGTGTATAACATTTTGATAAGTACAATTAATGTTCTGTAGTCGGGGTTACCAGTCCCGCCTTCGTATGTCCAAATCGCACCTTGCCTGAGCACAGCTCAGTAAAATATCCAAAGTGATCTGTTTAATAAATAGTCGGCTTTGCGCTAACAATCAATTTTTTCATCAGCTTTAACGTAAATTTTTCTTTAGTTGTTCTGATTTCCGAAGTGGATAAGGTATTCGCTGCGTGCGATTTGATTAATGTCAGGTGTCTTAGTATTTTGACTGATTTCGTTTACCGTACTACTGCCAAACCGTCAATTACTAGTTAGACTGTCAGAGGACAGGCAAGTATAAAAAGCAATGGGTGAATAACTTGGATATGTTAATATAATAATATTCATCGGGTCATTACGAATGAATAAGCAAGAATATAATTACTTGTACTGATAAGTCATTTGTATGCATTTTTAAATTTAATTTAGGCCTGCATATTTTGTTATAAATCAAGTGGCCTATTAGACCTGTTTTACGACGTGATATTTGCAATAATCATATCAAATAAAGATAAGTTTCTGATCATAGTTTCTAGTTTGTTTTGTATGGCTTTAAAGTAGTAACAGAGCATGCTGAGAAAGGAACGTACTGCACCTTACAACGACTGTGATCAGAAATGTGATGAACTAAAACTACTGTACAGTTCATCATTAGGGAGCACCCCCACCTCTCTGATTCTATTTTAACTGCTGTCTGTCGGCTAATTTTTTGTGGTGCAAAATGGGAAAACCGTTGATACTTTGGAAAATTGCTTATAATTTGTGTAGGTGATTTATGATCAACCTGCGTGTTCATTTAGGATGTACCTTTTTAATCATGATTCTTGGAAATTAAATGTTTAACGAGTTATTAGCCGGCCACACTGATTTTCCTGGTTCGGCCTATTTGAGGTTGGATTGTACCCAACCCGACCTGTTAGCTGAAATGAGTTTGCCATTCTTAATAGTACAAAGGCCAGTAAAAACATGCAGCATGTGTGTTGTCACTGCAGTGGAAGTTGCACCGCTTCAGGGAACCGGCCATGACTAATAATTACATAGCGGCTTTGGCATCGGGAACTTGACAGTTTTGAATTGCGGATTTTTTTCTCTCCTTGTCATTGTTTGTGTGCTGATGAGTACTATGTACCCGAAATAATCTCTCCGGTTTCAGGTGGACCGCTTTTCCTGAATATTGTGTTGGAATATAACATTTCAGCAGCCTCCCAGCTAAGTAGAACGAGGAAAGTAAAATATGACTGTTCCTCCAGTAATTCGAAAATATCCTGCTGTATGAACCGGACAGGAAATCTAAAATAATACCACGTACCTAGGACGTCCTGTATAGTCATAAGTTAAATCACTCCGTAACAATCCATTGGTGGTAATGACAGCTAGACCTATATAGTCCTTTTGGGTTTGTCTTCAGGCTGAAAAATGGTACCTTATTTAACTCCTCTCTTAAGTACTAAGGATAGAACACCCACAATTACCGTGCTCTACTGACAGTTTTTAAGTCTTTTAACAGATGCTTAATTTGCTTCGATGTCTGCGAGCAGATTTAGACCTTTTGGATTCAGCAGAGTTGGGGGGCACATTTATGGAAACCAAAACTGGCTTGGGATAAATGGCTAGTAAACGAAAATGTAAACATGGAGAATGCAGGATGAACCGTACAGATATAAACACAGCATGTCCTCTGGATTTCAGATTAACTTTTCCAGACTGGAATAGACTGGACAAGGTGTGCCGTTCCCCCTTCTTACAACTGATAATAGTATAATAAAATTTATTCTATGGAAGTAAATGGAGTTTTGGCACCTGGACAGTGGGGAGGGGAAACGCGTCGTGCTTTCAACAATACATTTAGCCCGAAAGACCCAAAGCTCCACTTGTCGGAGCGGAAGACCCACCGCCAGCCTGGGCGGCTTCATTAAACTTCAAGGGTGACTCGCTTGAAATTAGAAGTTTCGGAGTCGGCCGGCGGGAGGCGCCACATAGCCGGTGGCCGGCGCGTCGTCATTGGCTGCCGGGTGACGTTATCGGTGGAGGCAGTGCGCTGAAATACAGCTGAGAGCGCAGACAGGACTGGGCTCCGCGAGTGACTGAGAGCTTCATGTAGGGCGGCGGGAAAAGCGGCCCTGCTGGTTTTTATTTTATGTTTGTTGTTTTTTTCTTTGAAGAAAGACGAGACCAAAGATTCTGCGGCGTCGCCGAAACGGGAAAATGATCTGCCATATTACCCGTCCCGATTCGGTGGTGATGGAGGTGGAGGTTGATACCAAAGCAAACGGCGAAGACTGTCTGAATAAGGTACAGAGATCCGCTGTGTGTTTTCATCCTGTTTTGGTGCCCGATTGATGTTATTTGTTGTGCATCCGTTTGCAAACATGTTGCGGTTTGATTAAGTTTCCGTGTACATCTATAGTAAAGGCTGTTAAGGTTTGTAACTAAGAGGAAGAAAACAAAACATACGGGTTTGTTTATTTGTGTATAATCGTGTTACTCAATGAGAGTGGGATAGCATCATCCTCAGTTGTATCAAAACAGTGCGCTCATGTGTTTGCCTACTTCACACGAGGAGCGAGAAAGTATAGGGAAAAGTCGAGTCTTTCATGGGGAGCATCAGTTTGAAGTTTGTTCCTTATTCTCAGTTTACTTCACTAGAGATAATGCGAAGTTACACATATTTGTGTGATGCGTTACTGATCGCGTAGTCTTTCGTTCTCTGTTTTACTTGCGCTTCGTGAAACTTACTTGAAGAGGTTACTATAGGTCAAACGCTCGCCCGTATGATTCCTTCCCCTTTCTAAGGCAGCCAGCTCGTCTTTATGCGGATCTTATTCTCATTGCGGCGTGAATGTGCTATTTTAACCTACTGAAACGAAATATGTTCAAAAATATCTCACTGGCGCTGTGTTGCGTGATCTAAATTTTAGAAGTTAATACTTCTATTTGTTAGCTGACTTTCATTCAGGGATGGGAGTTTGTGTTTGGCGATCTAAGGACCATTTCATCGTCTTAGGCGACCTTTTAGACCGACGCATGGTGCTGTGATATTTCCTGTATAAGGAGCGTGTTATGCACTTCCTTAGGAACAGCTATTCGTTAAGGGGGGAAATAAAACATCTCTTAACTGCATCACCGCCATTATAAAAGTTAAATGCACCCCCCCGCCTTGTGTAACTTGCTTCACGGTGTTGACTACCTGTATCAGATTTCGTTGACTGTCTTATTAAAACCTTCCTGTAAAAAATGACTCCTGTAACAGAAGTGTCAAACGTGCAGCAATAAGCACCGTGCTTTGTGCTGCCCCCCCTAGCACCCCCCCCCCCGCCCCAACCCCCCCTATCATC